TACTCAATTCTCTCTCTTCAAGTCGATCCTACAAGAGACTTACACATCTACCATGATGTATGCCAAAGGTACATTGTGAAGGTACGCGCATCTAACTTAACATTAAATTTAGAGGCCTTAAGATGGAAGAATAATGGTATCTTGATTGCGATTTATTCTGACATGTAAACCTTGATAGAAAGTCATTTCTCTTCAAATTGGAACACATCTGTCCTGCGCTCTGATTTCGAAAGGACAAGGATGTTGGGGCGGAGAGGTGAGAGACGGGATAAGGGGTTGGAAATGGGTTCTTTCTCTCACCCTGGAGATGCCCACATTCATCTTGAACAAGCCCAATTCTCTAAGTCAAGCCCCTCAAAATTCCACATAATCAAGGTGTGCTGGCTACATGGAGGTTGCCAGATGTAGGAAATAACTGGTTAACAGGAAATGTTAACCCACTGTGTAATCTCTGATGTCCCTCACCTGCCCTTGGGTAGTAGTCTGACACTCTCCACGTTGTACCTTCTGTTTCATCTTCTTCTTGATTTTATTCATCTTTGCTTTATCGTCCTCATTCAGTGTTTCTGTGAGCACAGACAGAAAAATAAAGCGTAAAGCAGGCAAACCAATCTCCAGCATTCAGAGCAATATATGCATATCACAAAGCTGGCTTCCCAAGCAACTCCCTGGAGAATCTAGAAGTGTTTTTTTTTTAAAGATATATTTTATTTATTTCTTTATTTTTAAGAGATTTAAAAATTTATTTTTAGAGAGAGAGGAAGGGAGAGAGGAGAATGAGGGGGGGGGGACATTGACATGAGAGCAAAGCATTGATCGGCTGCCTCCTGCGCACCCCTACTGGGGATGGAGCCCACAACACAGGCATGTGCCGAGCGGGAATTGAACCGGCAATCTTTTGGTGCATGAAAAATGCACCAACCAACTGAGGCACACCGGTAAGGGCTTTTTGTTGTTGTTTTTTTAAGTATACAAAATAAAATGTTGGGATTGGAGGGCCAATGTAGAAGAGGAACCTGCTATGGGAGTAGAACAAAGAACTCAAATGGTATCTTTGGCCCAGAAACACCAGCCTCCAGAAGAGACTGCATTGCTTAAGAAGGGGTCCTAAAGGCCACGATGGCAGAGTAGCCTCGTAGCCTAACCATCTCCCATACTATTTGACAATGGCAGCAACTCACAGACTATGATTTTAGAGCGGAGAATGGAAACAGAAAATCAAATTGCCAGGAAAAGACAGTGGTCTCCAGACTTGGAAGTAATGATTAACCAGGAAAGAAGGGCCCGAGTAATGGACATCTCAGTGCAATCAGATTAATACTGACAGAGCTGTTGTTTATGCTCAGTTCCTATGTCTTGCTCCATAGAAAGATCTGAATTTCTTCCCCTTTGGAAAACTGAATATTAAATGTGATTCTGCAAACAACAGAGTGTTTTAGAATGAATGTTTCTGATATGATAGTACCTATCCTATTCTGGCATAGAAACACTGCCACATCTGTACAACAATCCTGTAGGTTAGACAGATACTATCTGCAGATGAACCACTATAGGCTTCTATTAAAATATAAGTGACTGGCTCTAGGTCACACAGTCAAAAACTGGCAGAGCTGGAACTTTGAATTAGGAGTCAGAAGACTCCAATTTTTTTCAAATTTTTCATACTATATCAGGGTAAATGTTAATATTTATTAAAATATTAGACATTTTCTACCTGTCTATCCCACTAAAACAGTGCCAATTATCTTTTGGATTCAGATATGAATTCTGAACCTCCATGATGGCGGCAATGAGTGAAGTAAGAGTATATAACCCAAACCAGTAAGATAAATAAGAAGCTGAAAAGATGGTAAAAAGGACATGAAAGCCCTCTTCTCTCATAACATATGGGGACTGCACAAGGCTCCACTAGGTAAGAGCAACTCAAGAAGAAACTAGCCATTAAAAAAGTACAAAAGAGCTGGGACCCTGATGCTGCTTTCCAGGGAAGAGGAGGGGGATTCAGATGCATTCTGTCCGACAATGTTAGTCATGTTGGGAAACTCAGCCATTAGCAATTCATCAAGATTTCAGAAACCTCATAGAGCAAGCAGAAACTCAAAGTAAGAAACACCTCTAACAGTTACCAAATATTTACTTGGACGTAAAGTATAGCAAAGAGCAGCTATTTTCAACTGGTGTGCTGTAAGAAATTTTAAAACATGCAATACCTGACTATTTAATCAGGGGCACTGACCTCTTTCCCCTGAGATTGTCAAATTAAAAAATGACAACAGCCAATACAACAATAGCAGTCTGATGTGAATGAATCAAAATTACACCTATTTTTTCATCTGATCAGCAAAAAATATATTTTTTGGTGTGTCACAGACTTTTAGTAATTAGTTTATGTGTGCCAAGAGATGAAAAAGTTTGAAAATCACTGGCATGGGGAATACAGTCAATAACATTGTAGTAACTATGTACAATGCCAGGTGGGTACTAGGATTATCGGGAGAATCATTTCATAAATTATAATTGTCTAACCACTATGCTGGACACTTGAAACTTAACAAAAACAATATTGAGCCCTAGCTGGTTTGGCTCAGTGGATAGAGCACTGGCCTGCAGAGTGAAGGGTCCTGGGTTCGATTTCCGGTCAAGGGCACATGCCGGGGTTGTGGGCTCTATCCCCAGTGTGGGGTGTGCAGGAAGCAGCCAATCAATGATTCTCTTTCATCATTGATGTTTCTATCTCTCCCTCTCCATTCCTCTCTGAAATCAATAAAAATATATTAAAAATATAGATTGTCAACTGTAATTGGAAGAGAAAAAAGAGGAACAGCACTGTACCTTGGGCCTCCAGTTTCTTTGTGGGGCGGTTGTCTGTCTTATTCACTAGCTCAGTGATTTTGACCTTGGGTGGCCGACCTCGGCCCCGTTTCACCTTGGGAACTTCCTTGGTCTTGGCATTCTCAGTGTTTCGAGGTCGGCCCCGTTTCCCAGTAATTGCCTGAATCCTAGATGGGATCTCCTCTGCTGACAGTTGTATCCACCGCAAGCCCTAAGAGAATAAGGAACACTGTTACAATGGGAGGGAGTCAGTGCAAGCCTCCTGGCACTGTGAACCATTCAATGCCCCAGAACCTCCAAACCCCACAAAAAGAAAGCTGCAGCTTATCTACCAACCCTTTCTCAGGGACAAAAGTATATTTAACCCTTGGGTCTGTACCTCCGGTGTGTCTCTCTCTTCAAAGAAATCTCCAACAGGCATACGGGGACTGAAGCTGAAGTGCTCACGGCGGACACTGTGTACCACGTTGCGGTTCAGGTACTAAAAGGAAGAGATAAAGTGGCATCAATGCCCAGCCAGCGTGGCTCAGGGGTTGAGCGTCAACCTATGAACCAGGAGGTCATGATTTGATTCCCGGTCAGGGCACATGCCCGGGTTGCAGGGTTGCAGGCTTGATCCCCAGTGTGGGGTGTGCAGGAGGCAGCCGATCAATGATTCTCTCTCATCACTGATGTTTCTCTCTCTCTCTCTCCCCCTCTCTAAAAGCAATAAAAATATAGTTTAAAAAAACAAATAAAAAAACAAAGAAAAATGGCATTAATGAAATCATAGCCCTACCAAAATTTTTGGCCAGCAATAGCAAAGGAACAGTCCCCAAAGCAGACAATAGCAGCCTGTTGCCACTGGACCTAAGAAAGGAATCTGTACTTCCCTTAAAAGCCCATGAAAGCTACATTACCTTGATCACTTCCGGGAACTGTTTCATCCTCTTCCCACAGGGGCCATAATACCAGGTCTCCCCCTGCCATCTGTGGCTGCCCTTCTTGATTCGCACCTCTCTCCGCCACCTGCCAGAGAAGCACACGGGCCCTGCCGCCAGGTCACACCCCTATCCACTCTCAAGCCACCCAGGAGTCAAGCCCACTGAGCAATGATCCTCCCCACTTCTCTCTCACTAGAACTTCATGTAGATGCAAACACAGCCTGAGATACAAGCTTGGCTAGATGGCAGGCCTGAGTGCTACTAACCCCTCAGGGCCTCAGGGGAAAGAAGTAGGCCAAACTGTACAAGCCCAGAAAGGCCTCCACTCCTCCTTTTACAAAGCCAGTGATACAAGCAGCCAGAAACCCCCCCATCACTGATGCCATTCAGGGAAATTACTGGGTTTCCAATAAAGAGGGTAAAGACCTAAGGGAATAAAGGCAGAAACTACAGAGGATAGGGGAGGCAAGAGGAAGAGTAAACTCACTGCTGACTCCGTGAAATGACTCCGAAGGCCATGGTTTAGTAAAGAACTCTGTGTTCTGAGCAACAGATTATTCTAAGCCTAAGCCTTATCTTTCTCTCAAAACTTTAAGCAAAACTCAGACTTGCTGACCACGAGTAGCCTAGAGGGGCAGGGGTGGAAAAGATCAGGAAGGCACTGATTCTTACAAGGCCCTTGGTGTCAACTGACTTGTTTATTTTGGTCACGTACTATTCTTGCCCTTACCTCTCTGAAGAACATTTTTTTAAAAAGCCAATTCATTGGGACTAAGCCACACATCATTCACTGCTAGCCATTCTCAGCATATAGGACAAGTCAGCTAATTTGAATATCTGAGCCCTAGGGTCACCACCTGGGTTTGGAAATTATAATAGCCCTCTGAGTAAAAAACTGAGTGGCCATAAGATGAGGAAAGAATAGATGAGGAGAGGCAGACCCTGAGAGAGGAAGGAAAGCCTAGGAAGCTCATGAGAAACGTTATCATTGTAGATAACTGTACTTTAATCCACTCTTGTCTAGCCCATTCCTCCCCATCCAGGATGAGGAGCTCCCTTCCCTTCTTCCTAGAGTCATTCATTAAATTTGTCAAAGTCAACGCATGTAGCAAACTAGAGCATTTACCCATGTTGGAGGGGAAGACGAACTTCTTCTGGAGTAGCAATTCGTCTCCTTAGAACATCACCTTGGGAGAAAAATAGGGGATACTGAAATAAGAATTCAGCAAAATAACGAAACAACAGGACAGCAGGGAAGGGCTGAATACCCCATGAACAGAAACTTTTCCTGGAACCAGCTAGGGATGGAACAGAATCTGGACACTCACCACCACCAGAAGTAGGGACTCCTTCTCCAGTGACCTCTTCCAAGTCAGCGGTGGTTTCAGGGAAGCTGCTGACATCCTTATTTGCTGGGGAGGCTGTTGGGAAGACAGCTGCAGGGGAAGCTTCGGTGGATGCTTTCGGGGGGGTCACTGGTGAGGCCGGCAAGGAAACTTCTGAGGAGATTGGTGGGAAGGCTGGTGAGGAAGCTGGAGAGACTGTTGGGAAGGCTGCTGGGGAGATTTCCGGGGAGGCTGCTGGGGAGACTTCTGGAGAGATCTCTGGGGAAGCTGTTGGACAAACTGCCAGGGAGATTGCTGGGGAGGCTGTTGGTGAGACTGCTGGTGAGGTTGTTGGATGTAGCTGAATAGTGGATGAATGGTCAGGGGCTGGCTGGGTCAGAGGTGGTGGGAAGTCTGAAGCCACCTGAGTCTCCATTTCTTGTTCTGCATCACTACCATTATTCAGGTCAAAGCCGTTATCTAGAATCCGAAGGGACAGGATGGGTAAAGGAAAAATGGTGTCATATAAAACAAGAGAATCTACTCAGTCAAACCTGGACTAAGATAAACAGGGCTACTTCAAGGACTTGTCCCGAGAGTTGGTAAAAGAGAATTAGCCTCTGGCTGTCCTCCCCATTCATGAAGGTTAAAGGGCAAAGCTGCTGCTGCTGTCACTGTGTGAACAATTACCTTTTACCTGGAGCCAGTAAGGCCTCTGGCCTCCTTTTTCCTGCAAACTCCAAACCTCACACGTCCTTTTGGGCACAGGGCAGTGAGAGTGGAGCAGCTTGTGCCTTTTAATTCCCACCACACACTATCCCAAAGCCCCCTCAGATCCCAGCAAGATGCTTTCACAGATATCCCACCCCTAAGGCCTAACTATGGAACAACAGCGTGCTCTCACTTTTTCCCAGGTCAAGCAAGACTTTCTTTGTCCTACCTCTCCTCACTTACCTTGTAGGACAGACTCCCCAAGGACGGGTGGAGAGGTGGGGCTGGCAAAAATAGAGGCTGAAGTTTGACTGTCATCTGCCAGAAGACTGAAGTGAGTGGCATTATTGAGGGAAGGACAATCAAGGGCAGAGATCACAGGGCTGTCCTCAAGAGGCAGCTTGTCCTCTGCATCCATCAGCTCCGTATCATCTATACCATAGAGTCCTCCACTTACTGGCTCTTCAGGGGGCGAAAAAATCAGAAAGCAAGATTTAAGAAATACTTGTCTAAATATATCTAATTCTAGTCCCCACAGTGTAAAGGTTCTAATAATAAATTAGGGAAATTTTGTAGCCCTCTTTTATGAAAGAGTAAAGTCACCAGGCTATAGGGATCATAAAAGCTTGAAGTGGAAATGAAGGGAAAAGCATGGGCCCTATAACAACCCACAGACCAACGCAAAAAATTCTATCATCTATCACAAAATAGGCCTTTCTTGTATTTCAGTGGGGCAAAAGGTAATTGTTCACTGGCAAATGTCTTTCTACTTAGTAGGAACCCAAACAGCCCAACTGTGTGGTAATAAGTCTCTATCCAGTGAATTATTAAAGCCCAGGGCTCATGGCCAAAAGGAACATTGGGAGAGAACCTGGGAAATGAACCAATTCAGCTCAGAGTGCAGTTGGCCGAGTCAGGCTAGCGGCATGAGACCGTGGTCTGCCACAGGAGTATCTGGAGGTCTCAATGCCCCAGATTCCCAAATCCTTTCCCTGGTTTACTATCTATTCCAGGTGACAGAAGCTGGCTATCCTTCTGCATGGTTAAGTTGAAGAGAGCCAGCTCCCAAGCCTACCTGGTGCCAGGGTGTTAAAGGGCTCCAGAGAGACTTCACTGAGGATTGGAGTGTCTTCCAGTTGATCAGGAAGATGTGAAGGATCATCTAAGCAGCTCACTGTGGGGTCAGGGACCAAGACTGAGACTTCTTGGTGTAATGATTCCACAGAAGGGATGGAGCCATTGTAGCCACACATCTTCAATTCTAGGAAATACCAGGAAAGAGCAAAAGGAAAAATAGTGCCTTCACCTGGTTCCTTTAGCTATAGCAAGCAGTCCATCTTCACTAGAGGGATGTTCATTCTTTCAACATTTATAGGTGCGAGTTCTATGTCGGATACCTTTCATATCAAGATATTCTCAGTAAGCAGAATACTTACTGAGTACTATTAAAATCCTATAGCAGGAATGGGGTCTGAGACAAGACTCCCATCGTGTTGGCAGCTATTTCCCCCATTCAGTGGGAACAGGTGGTTAACAGATACAACATCCTGTGATTTCACAGGGTGCTCGCCCTTATTCTTGGAATCAATAGCAAACTAAGCATTTATCTATTTAGAGGGCAAAGTTGAGAGGGAAGATCACATGTACCAACAACAAAAAAAGAAGGAAACTGTGAGCAGACAAGCAATGGTATGCTCTGCCGGCTTCCTTCCCTCCTTCAAATGCCAATTACTAGGGCTCAGGCCACTTTAGCAGCCAGTCTAGCTGTGCCATAGTCAAGTCAAATTGACCTCAATGCTCCCTGCTAATGGCAAACCCCTTCCTATATTTTGAAAGAAGCCCTGATACAGTGTCTGTTGGGGCTGTTTCAGGCTCGCCCACCTGCCCTCTTCAGGCCAGCAGCTCTGCATGAGCTTGAAATAATTTGCACTCCCACTCACGAGCTGGTGCTGCTGCCACAAAAACACCAGCCACTTGGCTCTGCTAACCACCAACATGCAAATCAGCCTCCACTGCAGAGAGCTGGAAAGACAAGTTTTCCTCACCTCAAAAAGCCACTGCCCCCATAGCCCCATTTTCCTATTCCCAACCAAGCTCCCAGGCCCACAGTTATACCTGGCTGCTCTTCTTCCAGCTCCAGGCTGCCTACCAAGCCAGTGCCATTCTCTGCCACAACTGAAGTCAGCTCCTTTTCTGCCTCATCAGGATGAATACCACTGCCTACCTCCTGGGAGGGCGCAAAAGTCTGGATGCTGGAGCCCAACATGGGAGAAGTCTGTGGGGAGGTGAAAAAACTAGGGGGTCCATTGGGCATCACCTCAAAATTCTGGTCAGGAAAGGAATCATACAGTTCCTGTGAGTCGAAGTTAAGCCCCATGGGACTCTGGGTACCGTTGGCCCAGAACTCTTGGCTCCCAGCCCGAAGGTTAGTGTTGTGACTTGGGGATGAAGGTTGTCGGCTGCCTCCAAGGATGCCATTGAGTGGGTATTGTCCCCCCGAGAACTGGGAGAGAAGGGGTGGGTCCTTGAGGTTGCTGCCAGGATTGGCGGGTGGGTACTGTGAGTAGTTCCAGAGACAGTCGTAGGCCACGTTGGGGTGATGGAGGTGTGAGGTGCTGGAGGAGTGGGGAGCAGAGTTCAAAATCCCTGAAGTAGTAGTGTGAGATACAGTAGATAAGCCATTAACATTCACATCCCCATTCAAACCTGGCAGAAAAGGAGGGAAAAGGGTCAGTTACAGATATGTGTGCGAGTAACTCTACCAACTCTAACCAAAAGAATAACACTGACTAGAAAAAGGGAAGGTGAAGGGGAGGGGATTCCCCCTCTGCTATATTTATGTCTTTTTGGTCTCCAGGGAACACCCAACACAGATGCTCCTGTATATAAGCTTAGCAACTGCTGCTGAGGCTACTGAGTAGGGGGCTGGGGAGCTCTCCTGGTCTACCACAGGAGTGAACAGCAGAGAGCTGGCTGCTACTGACGCTCAGGGCTTTTTATTTTGTTTAAATGAAGCTATTTGCAGATTCCCTACAGTGACTTGCATTCTTTCCCATCCTCACTCCCTAAAGGAATTTTCCCCTAGAGTGGCATGACTGAATTCTCCTGGCCCCTCTTTTCCCCAGTGCCTATTTGGCCCTACAGTGGGACCAGAAGGGACAGCCTTCACCTCCCTGGCACATGCAGATACAGCACTTCGTGCTGGGCTAAGAATAGAATTTGCAGTCACCACAGCAGCAAGATCCCAGCTCAGAAGACTTGGATTGGCCCCTCCCCATAAGTACTGGGGTGGGGTGGGGAGATCTCTGCATGACCGGTACTGCAGATTTCAATTCTCAACACCAATGGCAACCTCTACACTCAATCAAATAAAAAGGAACCAAGATGTAAGGAAGCTGGGGCAAAGGGGTCCTCCAGTGAAATAAAGAAACTTCTATCTACCTACAACCTTATGGAGGGTAGGAGGGATGGGTGGGAAGTATACGCCTAAGGTAGTATTTTTTTGCTGTAAGGAAGAAGTGAAGCATTGGGCTTCTCTCTGCTTCGAAGCATAAAGTACCTGAAACCCAGGCAAGATTATAGAGAGGTACTTGGCAGAGCCATGGTTCAGAGCAAATGATAAGCCAAATCCAGGAAAAGGCCTGATCCTGGCAATAACAAGTTCAGCTGGAATTAGATGTTTCTCTCTGGGGAACTAGATAAGTAAGCATTAAAACTCTCCATCTTCCATCCTCAAGGACAGGAGGTAGCACAAGCATTCTGCCCTCTTTTCTGTTGAACAAATTAAAAGGGAAACCCATACCAACCTTCAACCCCACCCTTATCCCCCACCCCATCCTCAGGGTGGCTTCTCCAACCTCTAAATACAGCTTCTCAGAAAGCAGACCCCTCACCTCTCTCATGGGTCCCACCTGATTATCAGAAGCCTTAGCCACCTCGCCACTCTCTGGCATAGCCAGAGAACAGGGAAGAGCAGGCTAAGATGAAAAAGCCAGTATCTTTTTCAATCTCTTCCAACCTTTAGTCAAGACTAAAAGTATTGCTTCCATTACCCCCTAGAACTTGTCCTTAGAAGCTTGATTTCCCTCCAGCAGCTGGAGTTCTGAGGATTCCCTCCCTCCCTCCCTCTCCCCCTGGCACAGAGCTGAGGTAGCCAGCCCAGAGGGGATCCAAATCTTGTCCCATTAACCTGCTCTAAAGGAACGATGCCCATTCCCATTCCAGGCCATGTGGCCCTCACACTCACTTTTCCCTTGCTGGGGGAAGTTCATGGGAGACCCGTTAGTGTAGAGGCCCTCCCCTGAGGAGGGGGAGGGTTTCAGTCCTGAGGCAGCAGGTGCAGGGGGAAGGCCAGTAAAGTTAAAATGGTCGTTGGCCTCCATTTCTGTAGGAGGGGAGAGAGAGGGGGGGAAAAACACTGGTGGTTAAACAAAGTTATGTCACTTTAAATTCTCTAAAGGGACTGCCATCATTACTTCTATCTACTTACCCTTCTCCTACCTAAGTACTAGGGGGAAGGTAGAGACTAAAGGTAAAAGAGGAAAAAACATACTCCTAACCTGGACATTGACCATACAGAAATAGTCTTTTTAAGTCAGCCTTGTAGAGATAAAAAGAGTTAGTGAGAAAAACAAAGACACAAGCCTGCAGGAGTCTTTCCCCTGTGTTAGCCCTATCCTTTTTAAAATATATACATTTTTTATAGATTTCAGAGAGGAAGGGAGGAGGGAGAGAAAGAAACATCAATGATGAGAGAATCACCGATCAGCTGCCTCCCGCATGTCCCCCACTGGGGATGGAGCCCACAAACCCAGCATGTGCCCTGACTGGGAACTGAACAGTGACCTCCAGTTCACAGGTCAATACTCAACCACTGAGCCACACTGGCCAGGCTAGCCCTACCCTCTTCAGTCCCAGTCCAAGTTACCCTTCTATGTTAGATATTAGCCCCCTATTATAACATTTAACATTCTCCATCCTTTTGGTTTTTTTCCCTTCAAAGCAAGGCCAGAGTCCCACAGGTTCTCAAAGCCATCTTATTTTTTTTTTTTAGTATATTTTTATTGATTTTTTAAAATTGATTTCAGAGAGAGAAAAGGAGAGGGAGAGATAGAAACATTAATGATGAGAGAGAATCATTGATCCACTGCCTCCTGCACACCCCATACTGGGGATCGAGTCTGCAACCTGGGCATGTGCCCTGACCAGAAATCGAACCCCCTGACCTCCTGGTTCAGGGTTGATGCTCAATCACTGAGCCACGCCAGCCTGGCTCAAAGCCACCTTTTTTATAGGAAGCCACAGAAATGGGGGTATTGGCTGAAAAGCATATTTGATATATATCCTTTGTTTTATTATTATAGTCGAGTTAAACAATTTTTAAATATTTTTTATTGATTTCAGAGAGAAAGAGAGGTGGGGAGAGAGATAGAAACATCAATGATGAGAGAGAATCATTGATCGGATGGCTGCCTCCCGCACACCCCCTTACAAGGGATCTAGCCTGAAACCCAGGCATGTGCCCGGAATGGGAAATCAAACCATGACCTCCTGGGTTCATAGGTCAACACTCAACCACTGAGCCACACCAGCTGGGCTCAAGTTAAACAATTTCCACGTTATCCTATCCAGAGTCCTCGATATCGGAAGAAGATAATATTGTTACCTTAGTAAAGGGATTTGAAAAGGAGAATACATTTCAGGAAAGGTGACCATAAAGGCAAAATTCAAATCATCCAGCAAGCAACTTATTCTCCATGGGAAACCCATACCAACGTGACAACAGCTCAGAATCAGAGTCGAGGAATAAGAATAGGATAACGGAAAATTCTTAACTACTCTGTTATATCTACTATGGTTCATAACGTTCTGGTTTGTGGCTTACATGTAAAGGATACAGCTGGATATTTATATTTGTAAAGTACAGTGGCGCACTGGGACGCAGTAGTTAAAAAAGCTTTTCATTCTCTCCTGAATATGAGATATGCTCCTAGTGAAGCCCTTGATCAGAATAAATCTTTCTTTGATAGAGCAAAGAGAAGAGAAAGATAGGAAGCAGAAGCCAGAATTATTGGTAGTCTGACAAGACAATCAGATACTTATGATGTACTAGTAGTGCATTCTAATTTGATATGTGAGACATGATCTGTCTTGATACTGAAAAAGCAGCTCCTTGGATTACTATGTTTTTTTTTAAAAAGGGCAGAAGAGCCATAACCAGTTTGGCTCAGTGGACAGAGCGTTGGCCTGCGGATTCAAGGGTCCCAGGTTTGATCCCGGTCAAGGGCATGTACCTTGGTTGCGGGCACATCCCCAGTAGGAGGTGTGCAGGAGGCAGCTGATCAATGTTTCTCTCTCATCGATGTTTCTAACTCTCTATCCCTCTCCCTTCCTCTCTGTAAAAATCAATAAAATATTTAAAAAAAGGGGGGGGGGCAGAAGAATTCAGGTAGAAAGATTCATCAAACTCCTAAGATGAGGCAATAAGCTGATCTAGGTGATGTTTTAAATAACCTCTTTTTATAACAAACCAGAAGTTGGGGGGGGGTCAGAAAGAAGCGGGTTAATGGGGGGGAAGGGGACATCTTTAATACTTTCATCAATAAAGACAAACAAAAAGGAAAAACACAGAAGCAAAACTTTAAAAAAAATGAATAAACTGGCTAAGAGTATATATGACTACTGCCCAAGGTTTGCTAGAGTTATGTTCCTGAATATGCTAGATGATGCAAATTAGACACCATTAGGTAATATGTGAATTTAATATAATTCTGAGCATGAAATATTAACCCTGTATAGAATATGGCATGATAGCTATAAGGTTTTCCAGGCTAAATACCATAATTAGCTCTACTTTCATCAATTTTAACTACAATTTTTTAAAATACTGATTTTAGAGAGAGAAGAATGGAGGAGAGATAGAAACATTGATGAGAAACATCGATTAGCTGCCTCCTGCATGCCCCTACTGGGGATCAAACCCTGATCTCCGGGTTCATGGATCGACACTCAACCACTGAGCCACACTGGCTGGGCTTAACTGAAATTTCAAAAAATAAAAGCAATTTGTATTTTGTTGATTTAAGGGGGAAAAGTTTTTAGGATTGACTTATTTCCCCATCTTCACTCTAAAATAAGCAGCAAAGCCCTAACTGGTTTGGCTCAGTGGACAGAGTTGGCCTGCAGACTGAGGGGTCCCGGGTTCAATTCTGGTCAAGGGCACATGCCCAGGTTGCAGATTTGATCCCCAATAGGGGGTGTGCAGGAGGCAGCCGATCAATGGTTCTCTCTCATCATTTATGTTTCTATCTCTCCCTCTTCCTTCCTCTCTGAAAGCAATAAAAAATTAAAAAAAAAAAAAAAGGCAGCAAACCTAAACCTGCTATGCATCAATAAAGAAATTGGGTCTCTGCCCAGCCAGTGTGGCTCAGTGGTTGAGCATCAACCCATGAACCAGGAGGTCAGGGTTTGATTACTGGCCTGGCCAGGGCACAGGCCCAGGTTGCAGGCTCCATCCCCACTAGGGGGTGTGCAGGAGGCAGCTGACCAATGATTCTCTCTCACCATTGATGTTTCTCTCTCCCTCTCCCTTCCTATCTCTGAAATCAATAAAAATATATTTAAAAAAGAAAGAGCCGCCCTGACCAGTTTGGCTCAGTGGATAGAGCATCGGCCTGCGGACTCAAGGGTCCCGGGTTCGATTCCGGTCAAGGGCATGTACCTTGGTTGCGGGCACATCGCCAGTGGGGGATGTGCAAGAGGCAGCTGATCGGTGTTTCTCTCTCATCGATGTTTCTAACTCTCTATCCCTCTCCCTTCCTCTCTGTAAAAAATCAATAAAATATATATTTAAAAAAATAGATAAATAAATAAAATAAAAAAGAAAGAGCCTTGGCTGGTTTGGCTCAGTGGATAGAGCATCGGCCTGCGAACTGAAGGGTCTCGGGTTCATTTCCAATCAAGGGCACAAGTCTGGGTTGCTGGCTTGATCCCTGATAGGGGATGTGCAGGAGGTGGCCAATCAATGATTCTCTCTCATCACTGATGTTTCTCTCTCTCTCTCTCTCCCTCCCCCTTCCTCTCTGAAATCTATATAAATATATTAAAAGGGGGAAAAAAGGAAGGAGGGAAGGAGGGAAGGAGGGAAGGAGGGAAGGAAGGAAGGAAGGAAGGAAGGAAGGAAGGAAGGAAGGAGGGA